AAGATCATTTTGATGTACGTATTTATTTTGTTTACTGTGAAATAATGAAGTAGATAAATTAGTCAAAGAGATAAATCTTATATATAAGATTCTCTTATCACAATGTTAGTTACCATACGCCTCCGAAACTGATTGATCGATTTGTATGAAATTTTATATGCATATATTCAGTAGGTTTGAGAATCAGCTACTATCTATTTATCAGACACCTCAGTGATAAGGGTTGTCGACCCCTAACATAATTTTTTTATTTTTTGAGCAAATTGTTTTTTTATTTTTTTTTTATTATGTGTCATTAAAAATACATAGGTACAATCCTAAATTTTCACCCTTCTATCACCAACCCCTATTTTTTTATAGTGTTATTAATTTATATGGCAAAACAATGTTTGTCCGCACAGCTGGTAATATGTAAAATCCTTGATGTTATATTTCATATTGTAGACATCCAGGGTTGTCTAGAGGTTTAGCACACCGCTTCCAGTAGATGCGGGTTCAATTCCTCGCACAGTATCTACAATTGTATTCATGAGTATGATTGTTTGTATCGGTTCGGTGTTCTCTATATATATAATGTACTTATAAAAAAAAAATTGTGTGTTTATATGGTATCTAGTACAATAACACAAGCTCTGCTTACCTTGGGACTAAATGGCGCTTTGTAAACTGTTCAGGGATATTATTATTTATATTGATATACTATTTGGTACGGGTTCATGTTCCTCTAAACACTCCTCTATGTATTCATAAAAAAACATCCCTTTCTATGCAGTAAGCCAGTGCTTCAGGGAGCTGGTTCAATTCCCAGACGTTTCACGTTTCTCCAAACACTCCCATAACTCTATTTGTTCATGAAAAGACATTCAAAATATTTGTAGCTGTGAAGGAAGGAGACGACGACGAAGACGACGAGCAAAAACGGTACTGCTATATGCAGAATATTGTATTGACTTACTTATGTCTCATATAAAAATAATATCATCATCATTACATAGCACAAAACAATGTCAGTGTCGCTGTCTGTCCCTATGTATGCTTAAATCTTTAAAACTACCCAACGGATTTTGAAGTGGTTTTTTTAATAAATAGAATAATTCAATAGGAAGATTTATATATATAATATATGTGCACCCGTGCGAAGCCAGGGCGAGTAGCTAGTTTCTCTATATAGTATGAAAAAGTCTACTGTCTGTTTGCATCTTTTAAATTATGTAGCGATATTTGTAGTCTTCGAAAATTTGTCTTAAATCTATCTATTTCAAAATTCTGTTCCAGGAATAGAGTGATTCAATGTGTATAAGTTTCTACTGTACTATAAAGTGTTACAAACAAAATAAACCTTTTGGTATAAGTAGGGATAAAAACTGCGATAGCACACAACTTTTTATAGCAATGAAATGACATGATTTAATAAACTATTTTTCTCTGAGTACATTTGCGATCAGTCCCAGGACTATAAGCAAATATGTTCTCTGATGCAGTCATGTAGAGTGGATTCCTATTGGAAACTTTACTCATCTGCATCCCAGAGCTACCGCTTATCTTCTAGCTCCAGAATATGATGACATTTTACTCTTACACATGTTGATCTATAGTGAGTTGTTGAGCAAGTTTGTTAAGGTGATGGATCAACCACTATACCCTTAAATAAATTCAAAACATCTGTTATATCATATTTACTGAGCAAAGCCTATTACTCACTAAACGATTACTTGAATGACGAGTGTGCATGGCAATAGTTGTTCATGCACTGAATTTTCATTTAATGCTAGACATAGACACCTATATAAAACTACATTGTAAATAAACTGGCTTTATAAAAAAAAAGTAATTCAATTGAGTTTCTTGCCAGTTCTTCTCAATTGGATCTATATACCGAACTGGACGGTAGGAAAAAATAAAATTATAATGTAAAAACTTGACGTTCATAAGCGGCTAAAATGTCCTACATGAATAAATGATTTTTGAATTTTGAATTTTTATAAAAAGGACAGACAACAAAAAAGGTTTATAAAACAGTTTCTAACAATAGCATATAATAAAAATTCTCATTTCCAGTTACCGCGTTTTAATCGTTTCACATGCTGATCTCTAGTGAGTTGTCCAGCAAGTTTGTTAAGGTGATGGATCCACCACTATAAAAAGTACACACAACAAAAAAGGTTTATAAAACAGTTTCCAACAATATAATATAAATTCTCATTTCTAGTTACCAAACGATATGGAAAATTACATGCAGTACCGTATAATGGGGTCCATTAAAAAAATACGCATGAATTCAGATTGTAATCCGACTAAATTTGAATGCCAACAAGACAGTGAACAACAAACATCCACTTCCAAGACACGTCAACATGCCATTAGAAAACGAAGAAGATTCTTGCTAGGTGAAGAAAGTCAAACAGATAAAAGAGAGCATGGGGAACCAGAACTTCCAAGTGCTCCATCAGAAATTGCAGGTATGTTTCTGTATTTTATTTTCATAGGTGCGCCCGCACTGCACCCGCCTGCTCTAACGGTATACGCTGGCGGGGCACCAGTGGAGGTTGATAAGATGAGCATGGAGTCAGGTCAGTTAGCATATCGTGCTAAATTTATCAGGAATTTAACATGGTGGTTTCCAGGGGAACTGCATCGGTATACGATGGCGGGGCACCAGTGGAGGATGATAAGATGAGCATGGGTTCAGGTCAGTTAGCATATCGTGCTAAATTTATCAGGAATTTAACATGCTGGTTTCCAGGGGAACTGCATCGGTATACGATGGCGGGGCACCAGTGGAGGATGATAAGATGAGCATGGGTTCATGTCACTTAGCATATCGTGCTAAATTTATCAGGAATTTAACATGGTGGTTTCCAGGGAACTGCATGGAGGTCAACCTGACATGGTACATTGCTAGCTATGGGGTTATTACTCCACATTACTAACAACCCCATCCCCCTATCATCTGTATCATCTGATGCTGTATCATTGCCAGCAAAATTTTCGTCTTCATTATATACTAGCTGTACTTGCGATTTCATCCGCGTGGAATTTAATTTTGTTTTTCTAAAATAAAAGTAGCCTAAGTTATTCCTTATTACATCAGCTACCTGACAAATAAAGTACCGTCAAAATCGGTCTATTTCAGAGATTAGCCGGAAAGAGACAGACAAAAATTGTAAAAAATGTTATTTTGGTACTTGTACCGTATTTATACCGTAACTTGACGTTCATAAGCGGCTAAAATGTCCTACATGAATAAATGATTTTTGAATTTGAATTTGAATTTGCAACAATCGAGCTCAGATCAGTCGACTCTTGTTCAGACAACCATTCCAACTTTGACCTCTAAACCTAAAGTTGTACTGTGGCCTGAGATCATGAAATTACACAATGGATTGATAAAACTATAATGGATCTCATAACCGTAGACATGCTGCCTTATACTATATATATATAATAATAAAAACATTGTTATTATAATATATTTTTTTATCTTATATTCAATAAATTATTACAACAAACTTAATATACCTGCTCCGTTTCCATTTCACGTCCTAATTAATGCACAATAATTGGTAAACTGCACCTAATTTCAATATTTTAATGAATGTTATACTTGATCACGTGAGTTTCGGTTTTGGTTTCGGCAGAAACTGAAACCAAGGCCGAATATTCAGTTTCGGCCGGACTCTAATGATAATAGGCCCTAAATAAATCTAAGTTAAGTCCATCGGAAGTAAGGTCAATTCAATTTCAAATGTATAATATCTATCTAAATATATATAACTCAAAGGTCACTGACATAGTGATCTATCAACGCACAGCCCAAACCACTGGACGGATCGGGACTAATTCTTCTTCTCGCGGCTTCGCTCACGTTAATTTATCCCTTTAGTGGTAGAATTAATCAAAATCCTTTCTTAGCGGATGCCTACGTCATAACATCTACCTGCATGCCAAATTTCAGCCCGATCCGTCCAGTGGTTTGGGCTGTGCGTTTATAGATCACTATGTCAGTCAACTTTGAGTTATATATATTTAGATAGATATTATTCATTTGAAATTGAATTAACTTTACTTCCGATGGTCACGTATATATGTACCTACACCATCGGAAGTAAAGCGGTGACCTAAACCTCTCGACCACCACGCCCGTCAAGTCTACAGAACAAAGAGCGAGCGCGAGCGAAGCCGCGGGCAAAAGCTAGTATAAATACACTGGCGGGGCACCATTGGAGATTGAAGCGTATGAGGTCAGGTCAGTTACCCCATCGTGGCAAATTCGCCAGGAATTCAACATGATGGTTTCCAGGGGGAACCACGTGGAGGTCAATCATTTCTGGGATCATATTCAGCTTATCATCCTCCACTGGAGCCCCGTCGGCGTATATCGTTAGTGCAGCCGGGTGCACCATTCCATTATCAAATAAAAAAAAGGTTCAAGATCAAGATGCGTAGATAGGGTTTTAATAACAGAGAAAAATTTTAGTCTTATAACTCAAGTTGAGATAACCCTGAACGTTTTTTTTATATATATTATAGTTTCTTTTTTAGAAATTATCATATAATTCATTTTTCTCATTCTGCATATTTAGGAAAGGCAAAGGAAAGTTATCCCATACTGCCATATGTGTTGACGAATATTGACATTGACAGTTACATTGAACTGTCACTGTTGAAATTGACATTTTGATTGATAGATTGAAAAACTGACAGCTTGCTTATTTCTGATTATAATGGATTCTTCATTCTATTATTATTTTACTTTGTTACAAAATTACAATCAAAATGTAATTTTTAATTGTTTTATTTATAAAAATAAATTGTGAACAATAAACAAGAAAACAGAATTAATTAATAATAATGTTTCATACAGAAATCGTTTGTATGTAACTTTAATTTAACTAAACTTATTGTGATATCGAAAGATTGATCCTTCGTCAACAATATTGAATAACAATATTTGCTAACAATATTGTTATTATTGTGTGTATATTACATGAAGATAAATAGGAAACACGTATGAAATAATCTAACACCAGGTTAGTGTCATTTCTTTGAATTTGTGTACCCAATTTGAAATTCGAAATTGCCATAACTGAGAATCAAATCTGTGACTATTTATGCTGAGCCACGTGTCTTGGCACTGTACAGCGATGTTTCATTTACTATTTTCTCAAGACTGAGTTCTATGTGTACCCACATATTGTACATTGCCAAGTTTTTATATATGTAGTGTTGTATGAATGATAAAGTCACTTTGAATGTACTGACAATCATGTTTTACTATTCCATAGGACTACATCATACTATTATTATATAAACTACGTGTTTTCACCATTTAGACACCCATACAGTCCACCGATTCATTACAATATTTGTATCAGTTATCTAGTACCCATAACACAAGCTTCAACTAGCTTAACTTGGGTCTAGATGGCACTGTGTGAATTGTCCTGAGATTTTTATAATTGGTCTGCGCAAATATGATCATATTTCCCATTATCGTACTCAACTCAAGTGGCTCCCTATCCGTCTTCGTCGCAACTTACACATCCTTTCACTCCTTTACAGCATTCTCTTTAACCCCCACACTCCTGATTATCTAAAAGACAGCTTCACATTTCTCAGTGAGAACAGTAGCTATCCGTCGCGTAATGTTAACAACCTCCTTCTCAGATATCCCTCTCATTCCACTTCCTTCTATTCTAAATCCTTTTCTGTCCAGGCTGTCAGGTTATGGAACGCACTCCCCCCTTGCATTCGGAGCATTCAGTCACTTGCTAGTTTCAAAGTCTCTGTCAAATCCCACTTTCTTTCCCTTTAAGTTCATATTGTCCTCTTTCTCATAGTTCCCTTCATATTTTCTGAAGATATGTGCATTATTAAGTATATGTATGTTTACGTATGTTTATATTTTATTATATATATTAATATATTTATGTACAAATGTATATTTATGTTCATTACGTGCACCACCTACTATTTTCTTATCTTAATGTTACTTTCTCTACTGGTAGTCTGGAAGAGATTGCTTAGCGATAAGGCCGCCTTTTGAATCAGTTTATGTATTATATCATTTTGTGTGTTTTCTTTGTCTGGTGCAATAAAGAGTTTAAATAAAAAAATAAATAAATATTATTGATATATGTATTTCTTTCAGTTGTCTTGTACCCATAACATAAGCACTAACTATCTTAACTAGTCTAGATGGCGCTGTGTGAATTGTCCTGACTTATTTTTACCATTTGTTACAGACACAATGGCAGAGAAGAGTATCCAGTTTACAATGAATCCTCACTTTGCTAAAGAATTTGCCAGAAGGAAGGTGTTATGGCAGCCAAGACATCTGGTTGATAAAGTAAGTGAAATAATTTTTAACCATTTACCATCAGATAGGATGTATGCTTGTTTGAAAAACACACAAAAAAAACAAATGTCCTATGCATATCTATAGTGCTATTAAAGTTATATAGCTGAACTGTATTTACCATTAGGTCAGACAACAGATTGTTCCACATTACAGTGAAATAATCTATACATATAAATAAAATTGGAGTGTCTGTTTGTAATATTGAAATAACCGTTTTTTACTACATGGATATGAATATAAATATGGTACATAAACCAAAATAACATTTTTTACAATTTTTGTCTGTCTGTCTGTTTGTTCCGGCTAATCTCTGAAATGGCTGGACCGATTTTGACGGGACTTTTATTGGCAGGTAGTTGATGTAATAAGTAATAACATAGGCTACTTTAAATTAAAGAAAAAAAAGGTTAAATTCCAAACGGACGAAGTCGTGGGTAGATTTCAAATTATATAAATAGTAGCTAGTAAATTATATAAAAAAATCTATTTAAAAGAACAACACACAAGTTTCTTGCTCATTCTTTTTGTGTTGAATATGTGTTCCGAATGAGTGGTAGAATAGAATAGAAAATAATTCATTCAAATGACTATTGATGACCATTCAAAAGTGCTTCCATGTAAGTTACATTGAAGCATTTTTGTCAATAGTCATCACATTTTTTTTAATCTACCACTCATTCGGAAAGTTGTCTTATCACAAGGAGATTGAGCAAGAAACTTGTGTGTTGCTCTTTTAAATAAATATTGATTTATTTATATTTAATTAACAAGGATTAGGCATGCGACAATCAACATAGAACCGCTACGCACTTAATCTCTGTTCAATAGTTCAAAAATATAGGAACCGACAAACAGCGACAGCGACTTTGTTTTATACTATGTAATGATGTACATGTATATTTTTTTTTAGAATGTACGCGATAAAGCTCTTGTGGAATTTGGGCATATCCTTGGCTACAATTTGGACCCCAAGGCCATAATACGTAAAATGTTACTATTATGTTTTCGTTTTCAAAGGGCATACAAACAAAAGGTAAGTCGAATAATCATTTTTTATGTAATTTGAATGGTAAACAAGCTGACGGCCCACCTGATGTTTGAATTGATTGAATTTAAAAATGAATCTGTATTATTGTAAACATATACAACACCAGCTATTGCCCGCGGCTTCGCTCGCATTAATTTATTTAGGGGTGGAATTTATCAAAATCTTTTCTTAGAGGATGCGTACGTCATAGTAACTTTATGCATGCAAAGTCTCAGCCCGTTCGGTTTAAAATTGACAAAGTTTCATACAAATTTTCATCCCCTATTTTATCCCCTTAGGGGTAGAATTAATCAAAATCCTTTCTTAGCAGATGCCTACGTCATAACATCTACTTGCATGCCAAATTTCAGCCCGATCCGTCCAGTGGTTTGGGCTGTGCGTTGATAGATCACTATGTCAGTCACCTTTGAATTATATATGTTTAGATTTATTTGAAAAGAATACGAGCTGAGTTTCTTGTCAGTTCTTCTCATCTCGAAATCATTCCGTACTGACGGTAGATTTGACATATCATAAGTCTGTAATAGACCTACATGAATACAGATATTTTAATCTTATATATAAAATTCTCGTGTCACAGTTTTCGTTCCCATACTCCTCCGAAACGGCTTGACCGATTCTCATGAAATTTTGTGAGCGTATTGAGTAGGTCTGAGAATCGGCCAACATCTATTTTTCATCCCCTTCTATGTTAGTGGTAGTCTACCCCTAATTTTTTTATTTTTATTTTAAGGCAAAACAACGTTTGCCAGGACGTGTAGTAAAATATATAAATCTTTACAGATTCTGAACCTTATAACTGAGTGCTACAAGACTGGAGTGCCAATGCATGAGGCTTTAACTATATCGAAGGCCCCCAAATGGATGGCAGAGGTGGACAAGGAACTTCAGATCCTGCCTGCATTTATACAGGTATTTTTTTTAGATTATAATGCAATGGTACCAGCTTGCTCTAAGGGTCTTTTTTATGGATGACAAATGGAATGGTGCACCCGCCCGCGCTAACGGTTTACGCTGGCGGGGCACCAGTGGAGGATAATAAGATAAACAAGAGGTCAGGTCAGTTAGCCCATTGTGACAAATTCACCTAGAATTTATCACACTTTTCTAGGGGGAACCGCGTGGAGGACAATCTAACATGGTGTATTGTTAGTAATTGTGTCATTAGTCCACATTACTAACAATCCCCTTCCCACCTGGGCTAAGGGTATATATATACCCTGGCGGGGCACCAGTGGAGGATGATATAGCATGAAGTCAAAAACAGAGCAAAAAAGGGTATTTGTATGAATAATAGCTAAGTTTCTTGTAAATTATTCTTGGATGTTCAACACTCAATAAAATATCTCTATTCATGTAGGTCTATTACAGAGTCTTATGATATGTCAAATCTACCGTCAGTTCGGAATGATTTCGAGATGAGAACTGACAAGAAACTCAGCTCGTATACCTTTCAAATACATGTTTATAATAATACAGATTCATTTTTAAATTCAAATTTTGAGAGAATAGAGTGACCACCAGCATATGATATTGCAAAAGCATAGTCTAATCAGTGTTCGAACCTGCGACCGTTGGAAGTTAGCGGTGTGCTATGCAAAAACTAAGGCGTTTAATTTCTTGTTTCAGCAAATAAACACACAAACAGAAACTGGGAACCCAGAACCAGGACCATCGGCATCTCATTATAATGTCAAGTTTCGAGTCCTACCAGGTGATGAAGCTACGACATCCAATGTTCACAAGGAATCCATCTCGGGTTTAGAACCTGAGGGTGAAGATAATAAAAGTGGTAAGGAAGATGACAGTGGAACGGAGGCTGTGGAGAATAGATGTCTGGTGGAGAATATCTCGAAGCAAATGGAATCGAACGGGCTACCAATGTCTGAATTCGTGAAAGCTGTAGTCAAGAAGGCACATCTTATGCAAACAACATCCGGCCAAAACATAATGAAGGCTCTAGCAAGGAGAATGAACACATCCACAAACACATTGTGCAATATATGGTAAGTTTTATTTAAAAAACTCTAGACAATTCAGAAAACGCCATCTAGTCTCACAGGAGAGTTTATGTTATAATTTTATTGTCAGATCGTTAAGTTAATTAACCTTTTTCTATACATATAAATAAAATTGGAGTGTCTGTTTGTAATATTGAAAGAACTGTCTTTTACTACATGCATATGATACGGTACATACACCAAAATAACATTTTTTATCATTTTTGTCTGTCTGTTTGAAATGGGTGGACCGATTTTGAGGGGATTAGCTTTTTTGGCAGGTAGCTGATGTAATAAGGAGTAACTTAAGATACTTTTATTTTAGAAAAAAAAAATATAACAATAATAATAATAATACTTACAATAAATTCCACGCAGACGTATTCGCGGGAAGGTAGTAAATAAATAAAATTAATAAGAAATATATAAAATATATAATAAATAAATAAAATATCTCAGGACTAAAATAACAGCTATATCCATGTGGAAACCCTCAGTTTCCAGATATTTTTATTTTAGAAAAAAAAAAATTACAATAAATTTCACGCGGACGAAGTCGCGGGAACAGCTAGTAAATAAATAAAATTAATAATAAAATAATCAATAAATAAAATAAATGATAAATAAATAAAATTAATAATAAATAAATAAATAAAATATTTCAGGACTAGAATAACAGCTATATCCATGTGGAAACTGAGAACTCTGCTGAAAGCCGGCGATATATCGGGCAAAGTGGACAGTTTCATTGCGATGACTTACGATGACTGGCTCGTGACTGATGTCATACTCATGTATGGACAGCCTGGGAATTTGATCACTAGTGTAAGTCTTTTTTTTTTATTTTTATGTGACTAGAAGCTATACTAGTTTACTTATTATACTTTCTACGTGTCACCATTGGTTGCAATGTCCTAGAACTCTTATCGCATGGGACATGTAAAGCCCAATTTAGAATCAGCCCGAGTGGGCAGGGCAGGCAAGCAGGTATATGTTATGACGTAGGCATCCGCTAAGAAAGGATTTTGATTAATTCTACCCCCAAGGGGATAAAATATGGGATGAAACTTTGTCAATTTTAAACCAATCGGGCCGAGACTTTGCTTGAATAAAGCTACTATGACATAGCCATCCCCTAAGAAATGATTTTGATTAATTCTACCCCCAAGGGGATAAAATATGGGATGAAACTTTGTCAATTTTAAACCAATCGGGCCGAGACTTTGCTTGAATAAAGCTACTATGACATAGCCATCCCCTAAGAAAGGATTTTGATAAATTCCACCCTTAAGGGGATAAAATAGGGGATGAAACTTTGTCAATTTTAAACCGATCGGGCTGAGACTTTGCATGGATAAAGCTACTATGACATAGCCATCCCCTAAGAAAGGATTTTGATAAATTCCACCCCTAAGGGGATAAAATAGGGTATGAAACTTTGTCAATTTTAAACCGATCGGGCTGAGACTTTGCTTGCATAAAGCTACTATGACATAGCCATCCCCTAAGAAAGGATTTTGATAAATTCCACCCCTAAGGGGATAAAATAGAGGATGAAACTTTGTCAATTTTAAACCGATCGGGCTTTTACTTTCTTTTTTTTTTTATTTTTGATAAATTCCGAGCGAAGCCGCGGGCAAAAGCTAGTTATACATATAAACCTTCCTCTTGAATAACTCTATCAATAAAAAATGGTTATTGTGGGTTATTCTTAAGAGATAGACATATCTACGCGGACTTTTTTGTTGACCCATTTAAGGTGTACAATAACGTAGTACATTATTTTGATTTATCTCGTGGGGTTCAGCCAGCGTTGGCAATGTAAGCGGAATAAAATGTGTTTATTCAGGACATCACATCAGAAACGTCTAAATTTATCAGTGTTTCTCTACAATATTATGTATGTATTATACATATAAACCTTCCACTTCAGTCAATTTATCTATAAAAAAAACCGCTTCAAAATCTGCTGCGTAGTTTTAATGCCAAATTTACACTCAGCCCGAGTGGGCAGGGAAGTGAGCACGGTAGTGAGCAGCGCGAGAGTGTAAACACGATACTTCCCATTGGCGCTGCCACTCGCGCTGCCCGGCGCTCCCTCGATTGTCGGTTTTTCGTGCGCGAGTCAAAGGACTGGCAGCGTGTTTTTACATTCAGCCCTCTCGCTCAGTTGTCGCCCGGCAATATTTCCGGCAGCGCGAGTGGCAGGGGAAGCGGCTGAATGTAAACGTAGCATTCATTGGCAACGCAGCTACGTAACCTTCAAGCTGTTGCTACCTGCAGCACGTGTACGCGACACGTGTAACTTTGTATATGAGGTCGGAACATCTCAATAAAGGCAGAACTCAATTAAGGGCATTACTAAATGTTTTTTCTTTATTTTGTTAATGGGCACTAGTCCACGCGGACGAAGTCGAGGGCTGAGCTAGTTTTTTTTATACCACGTAGGTAGTAAACAAGCATACGGCTCATCTGATGGTAAATGGATACCGGTTATGGACGCCTGAAACACCAGGGGTGTCACGTGCGCGTAGCCGACCCTTAATAAACCTTAATAGTCATTGTTAGATATTCTACTAGCCGTGCCCGCGACTTCGTCCGCTTGAAACAGTCACTTGACTTGACAAAAAAATACTTCATAAACTAACCCAAAAAAGAAAAAATGTGTTCATCGTTCTAGCTACAAACATGACGAATTTTCAATGAAATTTTCATCCCCTATTTTGTTTAACCCCTTTAAGGATAATTTTTTACTTACTTTGAATGTCATATTTACTTATATTGAATCAACAGCTTAAAAAATAAGTTTCAAACTTCTACAAATGACGATACTTCCATATAATCTTTCATCATCTCTTTCACCCCCTTACAATCTTTCGCTTCAAGAAGTAGCCTATGTCCTTTCTCAGGATTTAGACTATCTGTTTATCAAATTTCATTTATATCGGTTCAGTAGATTTGGCGTGAAAGCGAGACAGACAGTTACTTTCGTATTTATAATGTTAGTAAGGAGATATTCTTGTTACAGACTAACTTGTCGTCCCGGCATCTCCTGAGACCGTTGGTAACACTGTTCCACTTGGTGCAAACTTACCACATTGAGGAGAAGTGCAGTCTGCAGACGCTGAAGTTGAGGTGGCAAGCGCTCACCAGACAATATAACGCAGGGTAATGTACTGACTTGGACCTCATTTCAAAGACCCTAAAGGACCGAAAACCGGCATGGCATGTAGAGCCCTGTTACGGTATACTATATATAATAATAATAATAATAATCTCAGGACAATTCACACAGCGCCATCTAGACCCAAATTAAGCTAGCTATAGCTTGTGTTATGGGTACTAGATAACTGATACAAATACATAGATATGTTTTTTTTTGTAAATACATACAATATATATATATATAATAATATATAGAAAACACCCAGACCGATACAAACAATCATTTTTTTTTATTGGATTGTTTGGGCTATTGTCAGATGTGTAGCACCTGTAGCACTGCGACCTACATAGATCTATTGTGCTCGCCCTTTTCAGAGTTCGCTACCTAGACCCGTCAGGGACAAGAATTGAAGGATATTCTTAGGAGCGATCGTTTTTATCTCCTCGGGAAAGAGTGTAAACTTTCCAAAGGAGATATTTCGTTTATGCATGAGTGGGCTACAACCACATAGGATGTGAAGCGGCGTTTCCTCTTCAGTTTGGCAGAATCTGCAGATACTTGTCCAAACAATCATACTCATGAATACAAATGTTTGTACCGTTCAGAGTTACTTCGCATTTATAATAAGGATATTTACCTCTCTCGACGTTTCGACTAGGTTGCGAGAGAGAGTACCAAATTTAATTTAAATTGGTTCAGTAGTTTTGGCGTGACATCACCACAATCAGACAGAGTCATTTTAGGGTCTACACTATCTGCATAAATTACATTTAAGTTCAGTAGTTTTGGCGTGACAGCGCGACAGACAGACGAAAGTCATTTTCGCAGTTAATATTATTAACGGAAAAACTCGATTTTCACCGAAAAGAATGAGCTATCTTTAGCTGAAAGGTAGATATTGATTCAGGGAGACGTCAGCGTCGAGCGTGCTGCTGCAGCGGCGGTGGTACGAGCTGAAGCGAGCCGCGGGTCGCCAGTTGCGTGCCCGGTGGCGGCAAGGCGACCGAGGGCCAGCGCCGCACCCGCTCTACACGGTCATCGCGCGCCGGTACACGCACGTGGTCATCGAGCCGATGGCGGTGTGGTGGCACATGGTCGGCGTGTCGGCCGTCTTCCACTTCGAGGTAAGTTGTACATACGAAGGAAAGAGACGGAAAAGACTTGCAAGTACGTTGTACATACGAGAGAAAGAGACGGAAGTGACTTGCGGATACGTTGTACATACTAGGGGAAGAGACGGCAATATTGTGTGGTCTCTATCGCACACCTCTGGCGTCGGAAGGAATCCCAAGTTTTCTTGCTTAATTTTAACACAATCATTGCTTAGTATAAAACATATGTATGCTTAAATCTTAAAACTTTTTGATTCAAGAGGAACGTTTATATATATAATACATGTATACCCGTGCGAAGCCGGGACGAATAGCTAGTATTTTAATATACTTTTATTTATATAATACTATACATATATTTGACAACCTCGGTGGTCTAGCGGTGTAGCACACCGCTTTACGTCCGATGGTCGCGGGTTCGATTCCTCGCACGACACAAACGTTTGTATTCATGAGTATGATTGAATCGATCTGGGTGTTTTCTATGTATATTATATATTTATTAACGGAAATAAAGTCTATGTATTTGTACTTGTTATCTAGTACCCATAACATCAGTCAATCCTATCTCAGGACAATTCACACAGCGCCATCTAGACCCAAATTAAGATAGCTAATAGCTTAATTTGGGTCTAAATGGCGCTGTGTGAATTGTCCTGAGATTATTATTATTATATTGTGTTGCAGGATGATATCACGAAAATGAATATGGAGTCAGTTGTTAATGAGAAAGAAGGTAATTATATATTTTTTATATGTAAATGGAAACAAACAAACTTACAAACCAGTTGATGGAATGTGGAATCCGTCGCCTATATACTGTATATGACCATATCAACATCCTTTGTACCTTTTATACGATGTCAATTCAGAGGAAACTAATATTATATGTGTTTGAGTTCACATCAATATTGTAGAAACGATATTAAAAGAAGATAGTTTGTATTTAGTACTAATGTACCTAATGTGAAGATTATTACAAATATTGTAAATAGCGCCATCTAGTATTTATAGACCGAACTAAGTTGTTTATCGTAAGATAACCGTAACCCCCACTTCTCTCCCTACTACACTGACTTCGGTCTATAAATACGGAGGTCGGTAGTTGAATAATCCTCTTTCGTTGGTTGAGCTGATGATGCTGCGGGAATTTAGTCAACGAGCGCAGAGCGTGCCGGTTGTGTTTTGGATATTAAAGTGAATTGTATTAGAAATTGGTTTATCCCGGTCTTAGTTGGGTATGAAGGGAAATTACAAGTAGTGGAGGTGAGTGTTAATGCATTCTAAAAGGACCTTTTAAACCAACACTCGTGTCACAAGTCACGGACGCTACATGGGGTTTTCTCTTCTGGTAGCCGGCTTCAAAACTTAAGCCATCATCATTAATTTAGATTCTTTATTCTTTATTGTACACACACAGGAAAAAAAAAATAGCAATAATAAAATAAAAGTAATGTACAAGGGCGAGCTTATCTCTAAAAAGAAATTTAGTGCTTCTTCATATGTACTCTACAATTTAAATTAAAACTCAGTTTACAAAGCAAAATGACTCATCATCTGCTTCTTCCTTATCTCATTTATTTGGGATCGGCGTATTATGTTTTCCTCTTCCATTCATCTCTGTTCGCAGTCATCGCGTTATTTACTTCCTTTCTTACCATATCATCTTTCACACAGTCCATCCATCTATTTTTCGGCCTCCCTCTGCCCTTATAACAATCCACATTCATATGTAACACCTTCCTTAAAATATTATCCTCATTCCTACGCATTACATGTCCATACTACGATAGACAATTACTTTTCAACCTCTCCGACACCGGTGCCACTTTCACAAAGCAAAAGGACTAATTTCCATAAATAATCATACATCTAAGAGAAATAAACGTCTTAGCATTTCATGAATTCGCCGTGCGAGTGCCGGGTCCAACGTGTGGCAGTGAGGGAAACCCGGAGCAGTTCCCGGAACTTGTGACCCGGTTGTAGGTTTAAGAGGCCCGGTTGTAGATTGTCAACACTCACCTTCACCGCTCGTCTTTCTCTCTGTCCAGCCAGATCTGTAGGAGCCTGCTAGTGCAGCTTTAGATACATGTTCTAGTATAGAACTATCAGAATTATTAAACAGGCAAAGAACTTTTAGAAATAAATAAAACTAATGTGTTCAAAGAAAATAATCTAATTTGTGAATTAGATTATTTTGGTGGGCGTAATGTAACTTATATTGATTTAATAAAAACTTTCAGATTCAGACGACGATGTCATTCTGATAGAGAAACAAATAGAAACCATAGACGTTTGGAGTGATCACGAAGAAGAAGAAAATCGTCTAGTCATAGACGAAACGATGGCTGTTGCTGACAAACAGGAAAGTGACTTTAGAGAACAACGTAATGAATTAAGGGAACATAATATGGAAGTAGATGCACAAAATGTAGTCCCATCAAATGTAGCCAAAGTTTCATATTTAAGTAGACAAAATATAGATTTACTTCAGCACTCATTAGATGTAGATATCCAGGTCTCAGACTCATATATACATAATAAACCTAATTTAGTGCAATCGCCAAGTCAGGCAAAAACACATGATACTATACAAAGAATTGATAAAAATGTGGATATAGAAATCGGAAATATTAATATAGAAAATAGAGATACGGATAAAGGAAATGATAATTCAATTAAAGATACAGCTGGACACCAAAAAAATGTAGATTCACCGAACTGTGGAACAATGTCTAAACAAGTACCAGATTCTAATGAAGATAGTTCAACTATACATACAGAAGAAAATAATAAAAGTACTAATTTAAATAATAGTAATACAGATAAACAAAGTAATCAATCAAGTATATTAAATACAAAGGAATGTGTTGGAGATATAGATAAGCTTAATGAAACTGATAATGTACTTAAAGAAATCTCAGATTTATCAAAAGAAAGCAGTCCAATGGATGTACAGGAAGACACTGTAGAAAAAACAAATCTATCCCAACAATCACCAAATATTGACTTCCCTTTGAATATTCAGACCAACTCGAACACTCAAAATATAAATGAAGCAAAGACAACAGATCAAGAAACAATGAGGGCATTGAATAATCAAGATTTAAATAAACAATCAAATTCGAATGTTGCAAATGTCGCTGACAGAGAAAAACAAAACAATAAATCAAATGATACAAATAAAGACCTAGAATCAAGAAACGATAATAGAGATAATAATAAAGACCAACAACAATCCAATAAAGCAAAATCGTCGAAGACGACTTTAGTAGGAAAACAAACGGAATTACAGAATAAGAATTCAACCAATCCCGAATCCTCACATTTAATAAAGACATATACAGAATCACTAAATGATTATGCAAATATAAATAAAGAAATAAGAAAATATACTGTAAAAAAGCCGCAATCCGCAAAAAAAATACTTATCATGTCTCCAAATGAAATCAATTCAAAATTTGATGGTATGGATAGCAATATAACAGAAAAAAATTCTGAGAACGTTAAATCCCGTGGATTATTGCTAAAGCTCCTTACGAAACCACACCGTAAATTGAATGAAATGAATACCGGATATTATCAATTTACTCATGAAGCCGCAGCTAATAAAATACCCAAAGACACAACAAAAACTGTTGAAAAGAATGATAACGCTGTTGAAAAATCTGAAACATTGCAGATACTGGATGAATTAGATCCCAATAAAGCTGAAACCACACTCATATTCGATTCAGATAGCGACGAAGATATTTTAGTCAAAGATAAACAAGATGATGCAAATACAAATAACGCTCAATGTAAAAATTCTAAATACACAAGTGATGTATTAATGAATGAAGTATTGGACAATTTGAGATCTGAATCTGTAGATAATTTATCTATAAACAATTTGGTGGAAACACAAACTGGTAGAAATGATACACGCAGTAGTAACAGTTCTACATTTGTCGAATTATTATCTAGGAATAGACAAACTGGCAGTAATCATAGAGATGGAGGCATCAATGACGCTTCTAAATTAACCAAATCATCTACAAGTGAAACTGATCGTAGAATTGGTAAGTTTGTATTTAATTATACATTCTGAGATAAATGCAGATGATTGACAAGTTTTTTGTGTATCTGAATTTGCAGACAAATTGTCGGTCTGATGGTAAGTGGTAACCATGGCTATATACATGAACAGTATCACGGACATCATGTCATCGTGTAACGCCAGTGATACTACTGATAGTACCATTCCAGAGGAATAGAATATCAAGTCTTTTATCCTGTACTTTGTAATCTCATGTCTTACAACAGAAGCACAGCTAACTTCATGAATTTATATTATGCTGTTTAATTCCGCAACCATTAGCTTGTGTCATTATCATTTTTTTTCTTCATCATTGTCCCATTTATTTGTGATTGGCGTAATATGTTTTTCTCTTCCATTCATCTCTTCGCACACAGTCCTTCCATCTCTTTCGGTCTTCCTCTGCCCTTATAACCATCTACATTCACAAGTAACACCTTCCTTTAAATATGTTCTTCATTCCTACAATCCTTATCATGTGCGGAGACCTGACCACTGGAAGTGTTACATTCTTTTCTATTCGACTTTCAAGAAACCTTAATATACCCTTCTTAAAGAACCTTGTTAACTATAATATTATTTTCAGATGGAAAGCTGCTTATGTCAGTCGAAATACCTCTAATAAGAATAGACAAGACTCCATCTTGGAAGAAATACTCTAAGAATTATTCAATCGATTTACGTCTTGTGAATAATGATTGGGGCGTACGAAGATTGAGTTATGTTTTGAGCAAAGGACTAATAAAGACTGTTGGTCCTGTGGAGGAAATGGTATGTTATTTATATTTTTTTTTTAATTTGGGCAATTTTTTTATGGAGACCGTCCGCCCTGGGGGAGGTAGACGGGCATCGCCAGACATTTATCGGCTTATTTATGTATATATTTTTTTAAAGAAGATTTTAGTGCAGAATAATTTGAGGTCTACATCATTTAGATCCCTAGATTTGTTTTAATTAAATTGCTCACGGGTGATCGCGTTCCCAACGTGTGAATTTATGTTCGTTATGGACCGACCTCCCGGTGGGCGTGCGATTTGCAGCGTGTCAAAATGACATATTGCATAATGCCAGCTATTACAAGCCTGCTACGTGATTTTTTCTGTCATATAAAGGGTGATATCGAGCTATAAGTCGAGCCCGTTTGTCGACAGATGAAGTACTGCCGCGAGGTCCGGGTGCACGTGGCGCGGCTGCGGGGGCGCGTCGGGCACGCGGGGCCCGGGCGGCGCGTGCGGCTGCCCGACCTCGCCGCCCTGCGCCGCCGCCGCCCGCCCACCGCGCACGTCGCGCCCCGCCCGCACACACACACGGACGGCGACACCGACCCCCACTGTGAGTACACACACACGCGGGGCCCGGGCGGCGCGTGCGGCTGCCCGACCTCGCCGCCCTGCGCCGCCGCCGCCCGCCCACCGCGCACGTCGCGCCCCGCCCGCACACACACACGGACGGCGACACCGACCCCCACTGTGAGTACACACACACGCGGGGCCCGGGCGGCGCGTGCGGCTGCCCGACCTCGCCGCCCTGCGCCGCCGCCGCCCGCCCACCGCGCACGTCGCGCCCCGCCCGCACACACACACGGACGGCGACACCGACCCCCACTGTGAGTACACACACACGCGGGGCCCGGGCGGCGCGTGCGGCTGCCCGACCTCGCCGCCCTGCGCCGCCGCCGCCCGCCCACCGCGCACGTCGCGCCCCGCCCGCACACACACACGGACGGCGACACCGACCCCCACTGTGAGTACACACACACGCGGGGCCCGGGCGGCGCGTGCGGCTGCCCGACCTCGCCGCCCTGCGCCGCCGCCGCCCGCCCACCGCGCACGTCGCGCCCCGCCCGCACACACACACGGACGGCGACACCGACCCCCACTGTGAGTACACACACACGCGGGGCCCGGGCGGCGCGTGCGGCTGCCCGACCTCGCCGCCCTGCGCCGCCGCCGCCCGCCCACCGCGCACGTCGCGCCCCGCCCGCACACACACACGGACGGCGACACCGACCCCCACTGTGAGTACACACACACGCGGGGCCCGGGCGGCGCGTGCGGCTGCCCGACCTCGCCGCCCTGCGCCGCCGCCGCCCGCCCACCGCGCACGTCGCGCCCCGCCCGCACACACACACGGACGGCGACACCGACCCCCACTGTGAGTACACACACACGCGGGGCCCGGGCGGCGCGTGCGGCTGCCCGACCTCGCCGCCCTGCGCCGCCGCCGCCCGCCCACCGCGCACGTCGCGCCCCGCCCGCACACACACACGGACGGCGACACCGACCCCCACTGTGAGTACACACACACGCGGGGCCCGGGCGGCGCGTGCGGCTGCCCGACCTCGCTCGACCTGCGCCGCCGCGCCCGCCCACCGCGCACGTCGCGCCCCGCCCGCACACACACACACACGGACGGCGACACCGACCCCCACTGTGAGTACACACACACGCGGGGCCCGGGCGGCGCGTGCGGCTGCCCGACCTCGCCGCCCTGCGCCGCCGCCGCCCGCCCACCGCGCACGTCGCGCCCCGCCCGCACACACACACGGACGGCGACACCGACCCCCACTGTGAGTACACACACACGCGGGGCCCGGCCACTTTTATAGAAACAGGTATAAAATTAGATATCAAATAATATACTGAAGTCCCCATTAAATAAATTTAATATCTGTTAAATCATATTTATTTAGAGTCAAATTTACTCACTAAACAATTACTTAAATAACAAACGTGCATGACAATGCATTGTTTGAGCACGAGATCCCTCTCGTGCATGAACCATTAGATATCTTCTTTGTAATAAAGACCTATTTAAGAAAGATCAATAGACCATCGAGGACGACAAAATTATAAAACAAAGAGGTAACCTGAAACAACACAGAACAGATTTTCATGCAGTTTTCATCCATCAACAGGTTGATTAAATGATTCAAATACTCGTGCAAAGTCGAGGCGAGTTTCTAGTATAATATATAATGTTTTCAGGTGATGACGATATGGACAATATACCAACGGAAGAACAGCTGACGGATCTGCTAAGAAATTTGACTGTGAGTTACAATTATATATATTACACCCTATATATTTTTATACTATGATGGTGGCAATCAAGCATACGGCCCATCTGATGGTAAATGGTTACCGTAGCCTATGGATGCCTGAAACACCAGCGGTATCACGTGCGCGTTACCGACCCTTAAGAGGCCTATTACAAAATGATGCCGCTCAACTTTAGGTATAATCGCATGGATTTACGCACACATACAGTAATACACGCACACAGACGCAAATAACCGTGTAGCTCAATCGGTGTGGATTTAGTATGAACCATTTTGATCCTTGTAATATTTTAATTAATAATGTGATATGTTTCTACTTAACTAAGTAACATAAACTACTTATTGTATTTTTTTAAATAACGTGATTTATCTTAATTATCAAAGTGCTAATAATGACCATATTTTTTTATTATATTATTCCTAGAGGGTTGATGTCAGGATGCTGGCCGATTGTACAACTAAAAGCCAAAACCTTAAGTAATATGAGTAACAAATAATTGGGACAGGAAGACGAAATTACTATAACATAAATTTACTAATTAATTCTTCTTACGTATTAATTCAGTTTATTTATTAATAGATACAATATAATTTATTATAAGAGTCGGATACATTATTGCCATATTCACTTGTTCTAAATATTATACTTAGCAAATAATTATTTTATTTATATATAATAGTTGTGTTTTCAAGGCTTTGTTTTGATTTAAAGGTCCCATCCTTATATGTATATTAGGTGTGTCCGCGACTTCGTCAGCGTGGTATAATGAAATTGACCAAATAAAGGAAAAATATTTAGATTATAACCTAAAAAAGTTTCTTTGTTTCACTTAAACAATGACGATACTTTTATACAACCTTTCATCTCCGCTTTTAATCCTTTACAATACTTTTTTCGCACTATAAAGTAGTCTATGACCTTTCTCAGGGTATACTATCTGTGTATATGTATATCTATCTATATAGACTACCTGTGTATATATATGGTAGTGAATTTACAAGGTACAGGGGAATAACACCCGAGTTTTCAGGAATGGCAACGCATGAGGGAAACAATGTGCTGATATGAACATGTCAGGTACTGCTCATGTATATAGGCGACGGTTACCCCTTTCCATCAGGAGAGCCGTCAGCTTGTTTGCCATTCTAAGTTGTAAAAAAAAAGCTTCAACTGCTATCATTGCTGTTCCTGCATCATTGACGTCGCCGCATGATATTGGCTGATATTGCAGCTTCTCGTTCTTGGTTGGCCGATTCTTGATTCTTGATAAATAATTAATTGTTAATGTCAAACCTTTTTATAAATTATTATAAGACGCCTCATTGATTATATGTAATGAAATCACCATGAGCTATAGAGATTTTGGACAGAACCTTAAAAGACCTTAGAAACACCTCTGCTCTCATTGGCGGGATTACTTTTATACTTTTGCTGGAGATTTCTGAAAGACTCTCTGTGTCATTAACATCGTCTCCCTTATGGACTTTAATTGAAAGTTTAAAACTACTGACAAATTTGAGAGCTCATTTTTATGGAAGCACAGATAGTGATTTCCCACACTAAATGCTCAAACTTGAGGAAGGAATTTCTCAAAAGCATGATCCAGTCATGAAATTTAAGCCCGCCGAACATGTGCAATGGCGTCCCATTGGATATATTGCTTACTAAAGAATTGAAAGACAATTTAATTGTAGACCATTATAACCGGTACGTTAGCTGGGCAACCAGCTTATATACCAAGAATACCGATGATTCCAACGGATCTGCCAATACCATTTTAACGGCTTCAATTTCCGGTTAAAATATCATCTACACATGTAATAGATCTATGTATGTTTTGATCTTAAAAAACTACGCAGATTTTGATTCGTTGTTATTAAATAGACAGAATAGATAGACTCAAGAGGAAGGTTTATATATAACGTCCCAATACTGTACACGGATCTTTAAACGCGCGATAACCTATATATCCCATATTCACGCGGGCGAAGCCGCGAGCTAAAAGCTAGTCTCTAAATAAAAACATTTATAATGTTGTTGACTTTTCACCCAAACACGCATAATTATTTGACATAACTGTACTGTAATGAAAGTCCAACGAGTATAATAACAGAATAGCTGCAATTTAGAAATATCTGTATTGTGTAAAATAAAATAAAATTGGATAAAATATCTCTAAACATTAAGGAATATAATTTATATATAATTTGGTAATTTATTTACAATCCACATTGCATACTAGATGATATACACTATATAATACAAGACAAATGTTCGTAAAAATAATAATGGTATTTTTATAAACAATAACCCTATTTTAATTTAGAAAAAAACTACAAAATAAACATAGAGTAAAATTGGTTTACATTTTCTTACATTTTTCTCTCAGATAAGCGTTATTTTAAAAAATACTAAAATGTTCTCTTTTTTAATTTTAACAATTAATTGCCATTAGTGTGACGAAATACCATGCTCTTGTGCTTTTCATAGTCCAGCAGGGTAGGTAGGTTTTATTTGTAGCATAACTGTACTTTTGTCTTGGCATGCTAAAATAAATATTATATATATATATATTTAACAACAACTTTAAATTAATATTCGTAGAAATAAGTATATATTAGCAAAATTAATTAAATATTACTTAAATTATCAAAATTGTTTAGTCGCTCTATACTAATGTTCACTGACCAATGTCTATCTTAGCGGTGTTGTAAAAAATGGCATAGGTCCTACCTCGACGAGCGCTAGCGCAGCACTGAGAATTTACTTTTGGCGCAACGGAATTTATACAACTTTCAATTATTATTATTGTTTATTTTTTTCTTAGAAACTTATATTTTTTTTTCATATTTCTAATTTATAAGTATATTAACTTTATTATTATGTTTTTTTTATGCAAAAATTTCGTTGTATTTATGAGAAAATTAGAAATGATTATGGCAAAGTTTTGTTGAAATTTCGGGTTTAATTATGATCAATTTTTTAGATATTTAAGTTGAAAATGAAAAAAAGGACGATGCTGTCTCAATGTATAAAGTAATTATCAAGTTTTAGTAAAGATATCATATCAATTTATGTTTGTTTATTAATGAACGACGACCCCAAACTTCTGTCATTTAGCGTTTTTGAATAAACTATTTTAGAAATTAGGAAGACTAACAAAGAGAAAATTAACATTTCAAAGATGTAGTTTTTAAGATTAGATATCTATCTATATAATTCAGGAATAAAAATGTATATCCGACTCTTAATTTCTTAGAACCAGAACCCCAAAGACACTGCTTTTAGGCCAAAAAATGTGAAAGGCCTCTTAAGAAACCTTTCTTATATATAAAATTCTCGTGTCACTGTTTTCGTTCCCATACTCCTCCGAAACGGCTTGACCGATTCTCATGAAATTTTGTGAGCGTATTGAGTTGGTCTCAGAATCGGCCAACATCTATTTTTCATACCCCTAAATGTTAGGGGTAGTCCATCCTAAATTTTTTATTTTTAATTTTCAAAACAACGTTTGCCGGGACAGGTAATATACTATGTATATAATTTTCTTAAAAAATGCCATGCTGTAGTCTCGTGGGAAAATCTCAGCAGTAAGTTCATTCCACAATGTATGTGTACGCGGGAGGAAGCTCCTCTGAAACCGCACTGTTCGGGACCACTTAGGTTCCAGCGTGTGGGGATGAATTCCCTGTCGATGGCGAGCGGTGCGGTGGTAAAAGGTGGCTGTCGGCATCATGTCGAACAATTCCTCAGAACACAGTCCGTTGTATAATCGGTAGAACAAACAAAGCGAAGCGAAGTCTCGCCTCAAGCTTAGTAGCTCGATACCGCCAGAGAGATTGGTTTAATATGTGTTAGGGAAAATACTATATGTGGAAGCGTCTCGTACCTGGATGCTCCTGAATATTTCTATGTCAATATCCATTATCATCTATCAGAGAAACTGTCAATAAAATTGACTAGGATAATAATAGCTCTGTTTTTACCTGACTAGAATAAAGGCGTAGCGGAAAGTGCGTCGGCGTGGCGCCGGCAGCGAAACGATCAGCCGCAACCTCAGCTGCGCAATCACCACAAGCTGCCCCACCTACAGCTCACCTGGTAACGTTAAACTCTGCACTTACCACAAGAAGACCATAAAAAATCTTTAAAAACTCAGCCACTTCATAATCATACCTGTTGATTATCAATACATCTGTACATATAAATAAAATTGGAGTGTCTGTTTGTAATATTGAAATAACCGTTTTTTACTACATGCATATGAATATATATTGTATGTATATGTATTGGTATGTATTTATATATATATATATATTATTACGTTATGTAAGTATTATGTTAATCATAATGTACCGCCCACATGAATCTCTGTTTGCCCTATGGTTGACTGGGAGAAAATGCCTCTAGGTGTTAAGTCCGACATGTGCACCTTTATTAATGTATCTGTGCATTAAAGTTTAATAAATAAATAAATATGAATATAAACACGGTATATACATCAAAATACCTTTTTTTTTTTAATTTTTGTCTGTCTGTCTGTTTGCTGGACCGGGACTTTTTTTGGCAAGTAGCTGATGTAATAAAGAGTAACTTAGGCTACTTTTATTTTAGAAAAATAAAGTTAAATTCCACGCGGAGGAAGTCGCGGCTACAGCTAGTACTAAATAATAACTCGATATTCATCTCAGTAAACTATACTCACAGTATCTTCACGTACATTTAATACTTTCTTGAAACAGTGGTAAAATAGGTATGTTTTAACATGTCGCAGCACCTGCCACATCTGCTACTCGTTCAAGAAGCAACACTTCCTACGTGAGCAGACTGAACTACAGAAGGAGATAGAAGTACTGCTCGACACACTGCCGAAGACAGCCCTAAATGAATCGAAGGTAAGATATTTATGTAATAACTAGCTATTCCCGCGACTTCGTCCGCATGGAATTTAAGTTTATTTTTCTAAAATAAAAGTAGTCTAAAGAACTACAAATTATTTTGTTTGTCTTAAGTTATTCACTCCAAGAGATACTGATAGGTTCAAACTAATACATTTACATCCTGCATCATCCCTTATTTTATCCCCATGAGGTTGAATTTATCAAAATCCTATTTAAGCAAACATCTTCATCATTGTAGCTCCAATCTTTAATTTCAGTTCAATCAGTCGAAATTCTAAGAAGATTTATACAAACTTTCATCCCCTATTTTACCCCTTGGGGGTAGAATTAATCAAAATCCTAGCGGATGCCTACGGCATAACATCTACCTGCATGCCAAATTTCAGCGCGATCCGTCCAGTGGTTTGAGCTGTGCGTTGATAGATCACTATGTCAGTCACCTTTGAGTTATATATATTTAGACTAGCTGACACGCAAACGTTAACATGCCATGCTATTTAAAAATAGGAGTTGTGGTAGAAGGGTGAAAATGTGATGATAAAATAGGTTTGTAAGCACCGCCACTTGATAAATTAAAAAAAACTGCTAACTAATGGCTGTTAGGCTAACTTCATGTTTTTACTAGTTGAGCGGCCAAACGTTGTTTTGATATCGCTATTGACAATAGAGGTTAGTGATAGAATGGTGAAAATATAGTGTATGTATATTTTAATGTCACATCTGTGTTAGTGTTTCTAACTGTAATCTATTTATAATGCATTTAAAATCAATAAAATTAATAATAAATGATAGACCGTGTTAACAGAAAGAAAAGAAGTTTTTATTTTTATTTTTAATTACAATTATATGGCTTTTATACAAAAAGAGGTTTCATGTGCTAACAATCTGAAAAAAAAAATGTATAAATTATAAAAAAGTCTTTTTTTCGGATATCCACTTTTATTCCTTAGTTAGGGCTATAAAATAGATAATAACCTATTCTCAGACTATTCAAATATATACATACAATTTCATTAAAATCAGTTAAGCCGTTTCGGAGAAGTATGACAACTAACACTGACACGAGAATAAATAGATAAATAGTAATAATATCCATGGACAATTCACAGACATCTAATCTGAAATGTTTTATCGTGCAAGTATCGAACCCGCGGCCATCGGAATTAGCTGTGTGTTAAACCGCTAAACGACAATAGCACTCAAAGAGTTAAGTGACCTAATTAATCATAATTTAATGAAATAAACTCCTCAGAAACCAGTAAGCGAGATAGATCAAGACCCAGACTACAGTGTCAAGACTACAAAACAGAAGAAAAAGAAACAGCAAAATGTAACACGGACGATATCCAAACCATCCGACGATGATTACCAGGAATGGATAAGACAGAAGAATATCCATCAAAGGTTCTTCAAATTACCGTCTATGGATCTACAGAAGAAAACACAAAAAGATATTCCAACTGAAAACACACAACTGGGTGCGGTTGTAACTGTAGCGGAAATTGCAAATAGTAATATGGCAACACAAGAGGCATCAACGGGTAATGTAAACACACTCGAAAGCGTCATTGCGCCATCGAATGTAAATGAAAAAATAGACATTGAACCCGCAGAAACACAGCCTACACTCAAATCGTTAACAGGTAATAAAAACATAATCATCTTTGACGAGAATTTTCGACAGAAAATGGTTAAATCACTAAACGATATGGCCAAAAATAAAACTAATCCTGAGAATAATCTGCCACAATCTACTGATCCAACTGTGTTTCGAATTAGGGCCGGGAATACATTTGTTAATATAAATCATGAAAGTTTCAAGAAGGTAGTAGAAGATATTATTGGTGGTCAAAGTGTGGGGAATATTATTGATGATCAAAGTGTTGAACAGAGTCCTGGTAACAGCGGCGAACAGATGAGGAGTCAAAATATTAAAGAAATTATTGAACAAATTATAGGAGGACAATGTTTAGGACAGATTATTGATGATCAAATTATTGAACAGATCACTAATAAAGTTAAAGAAAATGAATATGTCGATGCTCAAAACGTTGAACAAAGCACGGACAGACAGAGTGATGGAGTAACTGAAAATAGTAATGTTAATCAGAATATTGTAGAAAATGTTAAAATTGAAAGCATTGGACAAATTGTAAACGAAGAAACTATTAACAGTGAAAGAGTTGATCAAGATATTGGACCAAATTTTAAACAAGTTAACAGTAAAATAGTCTATGAGAATGAAGAAAATATTAATGGCCATTTAGCTGGTCGAAATATAGAATTCGAAATACCTCTTATAGACCTTGGTCCACCTGAAATTAAAGTTGAACAACCTGCAGAGAGTGTAGCTCAAGATGAAATATTGGATACAGATACAATGATAAGGGAGGATCTACAGGAAACAATTGATAATAATGATACAAACGAAAATGTAACACAATTGCCTGCTGATGATTCGATGTCCATTGTCATTTCTAATGTTGTATCACTGGCTAACAATAAGGTAACAATTGTTTTTATTTCGTATTTAGTAAGAAGTATTCTGTATGATAATTTAGGATATGATTTGGTATCTATGCACCAAATGTCATTTAAATCAGTTTAGTAGGTTATATATACAAAGGATATATAATAATATGCTGATTCATCGGGGGTGCTGCTTGTGTGGACTGATCTGTTCTTATTACGAACACTGATTGGATTTTTTGCTTTTGCAATAGCAAATGCTGGTGGTCACTCTATTCTCCTGAATTTGAATTTAAATTAATCTGTATTATTGTAAACATGTACAACATTTATTTGAAAGAATACTAGCTGAGTTTCTTGTCAGTTTTTCTCATCTCGAAATCATTCCGAACTGATGGTAGATTTGACATATCATAAGAATCTGTAATAGACCTACAAATTTATCCCACAGGTGGATGATGTAGTTTCTGAATCATCAGAATTAATTAAGCAGTGTAGAGGCACGAAACGTCATCGTTCAGGTATAGACCCGATCAGCATCAAGCGTAAGTTTACAAATTTGGATGATGGTATAGTTGATTCCTCTTCCAATGACGAAACTACAATCGGTGGAAAGAAATATAACACGAATTTTAAAGTAACAAGAAATAAGCTCCGCAGTTTGGAAATCAACTCTGGCGCAATCGGTTCCGTACAAGTGTCGGAGAATATTGGGTTAACTATACAAGTTGGTGAGTATCTTTTTTTTATAGCATAAACGAGCTTACGACTCACCTCGCAACACCAGGGGAATTTCAAATATGTTACCGCCCCTTTTAGAAAGAATATGCTCTTTCCTTGAAGAAGAAGAAAACCTTCTTTATAATAATGGAGCTTCCACCTTCAGTCATTCTCAATATTAAAGTTTTAATTTATAATAATGGAATGGTGCACCCGTCTGCGCTAACGATATACACTGATGAACATGGAATTCTAAGTTCATCTCACATAAAGACTTCAAATTTTTTGTTACAGCATTAGACTCAAATAGGAATGAACCCAGTTCAGGACCATCATCAAATATTCACGACCATGACACATCATCAGGAAGCCGGGAGATTACTGATTTGACTTTAAGTGGTAAGATTTTTTTTTAATTTATAATTATAACCTTAGACAACCTTTATTGATTTGAAACAATAAAATTGTATAGGATAACATACAAGATTTAAAACATAATAGTGAGTTAAATAGTACATTTTGTTGTCAGCAAGAATAGTGCAATAGGTCAAACAACTGACAATTCATACAGCACCGTCTAGTCCCAAGTTAAGCAGATCTTGTGTTATGGGTACCGTTTATATGTGTTTATATATATGTATATGTATATATATATAAATACCTCTTTGCACACTTAGTTGATCCAGCCACGACCCCGTACATTGCTGGCTCCGCCTTTTGCACCGAATAACTTGAATCCAGTTGCGTATTTCTCGAGCGAAATGGCAACATAGCATTCTATTATGTGATGTTGCCAAATATATTCGTCGATAGTACTCTACTCGATATATATTTTTTCAACAACTTAATTTTTTAAATGCACGAAGACTTTTTGGCTCTGAATATATTTAAAAAATCAATAACTTGTGTTGATCAATTTATATACTCGTACTCCCAGCGATACTTGTTTTGATCCGAACATATACAGATACCGTAACGGTCTATCAATTATGAATTTATTATACCTAATGTAACTATTTTATATTCGCTTCATACATTGTATGATCCGCGTCGGTTGTAACGGTGGAGGCACGGGGGGAGCACCGTACACCGCACCCCGCGCCCTTTAGGCCTCGGTCTCTACTGCGCCATTTTGTATCTCAATTTGAATGCTCTAGTTGAACTGTGCACACGTCGACATTATTTTAAAGTCGCCATTTGAATTTGTTTTTGACTGAAGAATGAATGAAGACAAAAATGAAGGTCAAGGTATGTGTTTTACATTTAGTACCTAGTTAAGCGATTTTTTCTATTTGAAGTCCCGGCATGAAAAGCTATAATTTTTAAACCAAAGAACTTATACGAAGTTACAATTCAAACAATTCGAAATTCAATCTACTCAAAGTAGATTTTCAGTTCACTTCATCATCATCATCATCTCAGCCCGGAAGTCGTCCACTGCTGAACAAAGGCCTCCCCCAAAGATCTCCACGACGATCGGTCCTGCGCTGCTCGCATCCAATGCTTTCCAGCGATCTTGAGCAGATCGTCGGTCCACCTTGCTGGAGGCCTTCCCACGCTGCGTCTTCCGGTCCGCGGCCGCCACTAATTTCACTTAGTCGCGTTATATTTTAGCGATTTAAAGCACGTTTCTAATGATTTGTGATAGATACTGGAACGCGTTAAACACTTGGAACGTAAACTTTAGCTGCTGCAATTTTGAATTAGGTTGTTTGAGTTTCGTTCCAGCGTCATAGTTTGAATTTTTTCTCGGAATAGGTTATATTGGTTGTCATATTTTAACTTGTTATTTCTTTCTCTTCGAAATAAGGTTGTGATTCCTTGAATGGGTGTTTACTACATTTATAGCTTCTCGTGACGGGGACTTTACAGTTTGTTATGGCTGTCAAGTTGGCATTTTTTGAAACTGATAATAACATATGCTCCTGTGTTAACAAATCATAATAAAATACAGTTAATTACCTGCCCAATTCAATTATGTTTGAAGGGCTGTCACTTACATTTAGTTGTCAATTAAATCTGCTGTTGGTACATTACTGGCAATTTTACTTTGTTAAAAATTGCTTGAAGATGGAAATTAAGTTAAAGAGAGACCTTACCCTATTTTAAAGAAGCCCACTTGACTGTCAACATATTGCTATATAATCCTATATACACGTGGTTACAACTATTCTAAAATATTTATTATTTTTAGTTGAACTAGCTATCCAGATCAATGTTGCAGAAAAATTGAGGAGCCTACCTGTTTGTCAATTTATGGTTTGTAACATAATGCAAAGTTTGGGTTTAGATTGAGACATTTTCGTGTATGATTTATACATAAATTGTAAATGTTGCGTGCTACCTAGGTACAAAAGTATGTTGGTATCTATAAGGTTTCAGGTTTTCAGAGATCTTTTTCCAGTTCCGGCTCCTGGCGCTTCTAAAAGCTGTACAATGGAAGTAAGTAAGTAAGTCGTTTATTTGGAAAAAAATAATTACACCCTAAAATACATATTTGCTAATTCTGGCAAATAGTAGCACTACCATTCCAAACATAATTTTGAACCATCCCAAAGGGATAGTAACAGAAAGTCACTTGGCGAATTAGCGCGTATTTATTTATGTGAACGTGCGTCCACCTTTCAACTGACGCGCGCGCGAGTCTCGTGTCTCAACTAAAGGATCCCGGCCCCATTTTGATCCCGAAAATTTTGGATTTAAATTTGACAAATCCCGGATAGGATTGAAATTGATTTCTTAAATTTATTCTAATCATAGTAAATAGAGTTTAAATAATAATTTATCTGAATGCAAAACACGACAGATGTGGATATTACATACAACTTTTACCTTGAAGTATCTGGCCAGTACGGCAATTTTGATTTATCTCGAAGAAGATTGTCAAAATGATGCTGACATTTGCATGTTTGAGAAAAGAGTCTCTGAATGAGACACAAGAAAACGTTCTTTTACAAAAACAAATAAACGGTTGAAAGAACTATGTAAAAGTCGACTATTATTACAGGTCATGAAGAAATATGGATTCCTCCACCATCTGTATTGGACAGCCCAATAAAGTCAGGTGATAGTTTATTAGATCCACTGTCAGTATATGAAGTGGGTGCTCCTATGAGTTTGAGTGAATTTAAGACACTCATAGCAGACGCAGTGATAACCGTATCAGAACCTATTCCGGAAGCTTCAGGCTATGATGGAAACAACAGTGTGGTACTCTTAGATAACATCCAAGACTGTGCTGATATTCAAGTGTTTATTTTCAAGCCTGCTGAGGAAACTTGTGTAGCTTCAATAACAGATGACCTTCATTTAGATGAAGCAACAACTAGGTAAGCATCCAGTTTTGTTTTATTTAATCTAAGGATTTCGTTTTTGCATGTTTTTTTTGTCTAATTAACTAATAAAGATATGTTTTGTTAATGTGTGTGTATGCGTGCGTGCGTGCTTGCGTGCGTGCGTGCGTGCTTGCGTGCGTGCGTGCGTACGTGTGTGATTGAATTTTGCGTAGCGGTTTTTTAAGTACACATGTTTGTACCTCATTAATAATGTTTTTGTAAATTAAAAAGATAAAATCAACCGCACGTCATTGGAATTAAAACCATCTTTGCTACTTAGTGATAAAAATCTAAGTATATCCACCGACGTGCGTTTTCCAGTTTGGTGGATGTTTTCTCAGTCATTTTTGCCTTTATTGATTCTTTTGCATTTCAATTCAATTCAATTTATTTACTGGAACATGTGTACATAATGGTCTTAAGATAACAATAGCTTCAAACATCCCCTTCCGTTTCCGGCGTGGAAAATATTACAATAATATTAATATTACATTATTAATAATATAATATAATATAGTAATAATAATAATCTCAGGACAATTCACACAGCGCCATCTATACCCAAGTTAAGCTAGCTAAAGCTTGTGTTATGGGCACTAGACAACTGGTACATATAACATATATATACATATTATACATAGAAAACACCCAGACCGATACAAACAATCATACTCATGAATACAAATATTTGTGCCGTGCGAGGAATCGAACCCGCGACCATCGGTCGTAAAGCGGTGTGCTAGACCGCTAGACCACCGAGGTCGTCAATTATTATATTTAAAATGATTATTACAATCCATTATTATCACTTATCGTGGAATAATAACATTTATTTAGTAATTCTTTAAATAATTTACTTTTAAATTGTTAATTGTTCAAATTTCTATAATTGTCTGAAAGATAATTGAAAATTTCATAATCATAATTATTATCAATGACTTCATTGAGTTGTACCTATTATTTTAGCATAGTGACAAATGATACTGCAGGATCAGATGTAACAGACGAGCAACTTCCTAAAATGTCAAATAACGACCATGAAACAACCAGTCCGGAAACAGTAAAAGTAAGTTAAAAAAATTCAATTGATATTATGAAATTATTATTCATGGAGCCTTACGGCCGTTTTAGCGCTACTCGTGGGTGGGAGAAGCATATTAAAAAAAATATAATGTAATTTTATTTATTAAAAAAATATTAAGTAATATTTCGTTTTAGTGAAATTTGCTATCTCTATTAATAATATCTCAGGACAATTCACACAGCGCCATCTAGTCCCAAACTAAGCAGAGCTTGTGTTATGGGTACTAGACAACTGATGTAATACATGGATTTTTTTTTGTAAATAAATACATATTATAAACACCCAGATCGATACAAACAATCATACTCATGAATACAAATGTTTGTACCGCGTGAGGAATTGAACCCACGATCATCGGATATAGGGTTCATTCCCGGGAATTCTCGGTTCGAGAATTCCCGGGAAATTCATGGGTTTTATTCCCGGGAAATCGAGCTCGAGAAAAGTCGAGAACTCGAGAAATCATGTACCTATGTATATAGAAATTAAATTGCCCTTTGTTTTGTTGCGAGGCGGCGCAATAATTTAAGATATTAACGTTATTGTTTTCTTTCTTGTTATTTTTTTATTTTGTAGAAACTATTTTTGTTTACGTTGTTTTTTTTTTCTAAATAAGCAGCCAAAAATGATGCTGTCATTATAAATATAAGTCTGAATACTTAGGTCCTAAAAAATTTAAATTGGCGTTTTTTAAGGGAATAACCTGAAGTATTTATTTTGAAAATATAATATATTTATTTAATCAAAGTATGTACCATTTCTATTTATGCACTTTTGCCTTTTGTTTTTGCACTTTGGACTGCCCCATCGGAGTTTAATTTTTTCCCTTGCAAGAAGTTATCCAAATTTCGAAAAAAATGGTAATTTTTCCAATTGAAGCTCTTCTAATTTGGTAACTGTCTGTTGTGCAGTATGTGGTCAAGCGTTCTTGGCGATTGACCAGCCTCGGTTGTTTAGCAGCTAGCTTTTCCATCATGGTT